CACATGTCAGAAAATGCCACGCCTGCCACGGAATTTGGACCTTGTCGCCACTTGACGCAGCCCTGCCAATGCGATTTACAAAAAACACGCAACAGGACACGTCTAAATTGCTGCGCCTGCCACGAAAAATGACGATGGACACGTCCAAAGTGCTGCGCCTGCCACGAAAACTGCAACACATCTTCTAAAAACGTCGCAAAAGTATTGCGCCTGCCATGCAAAACGATTTTCAACACGTTGCAAAACACGTCTGAATGTCACAAAGTGCCACGCCTGCCGCGCGAAACGAAGCAACGACACGTCTGAAACCTCCAAAAATGACCACCTCTGCAAAACTTCCCACCGAGAGAATCTACAGCTTCCCTAAGGACATTGTTTTCAACTGACGAGATCTTTTTCAAGAAAACAATGTCGTGTGTATCAAACGCTGTCGTATAATGTCGTCAGATACATACGAGAAGTACCAGAGTATTATAAATCTGCTATATTTCTTACATAAGTAATTTTTCTTTCGGCAACAGATAAAAGAAATTATAAAATATGTTTTCATGATACTTGCCATAAAAAAATCAAAAAGAGGCATCAAAGTGCTATACAGTTTCAACGACAGCGTGCCTATCGACAGCGTTTTCAATGAAAACGTTGTCGCCAGGGACGCTGTCGTGTAAAACATATAGCACTTTCATTTTGCTTTTCTTGTGGAAAGAAAAGTCAAAAAAAAAGTAAATAAATTTCAAAAGAAATCGAGAAAGAAGGAAAAGTGCTATATGCTTCCAACGACAGCGTGCCTAACGACAGCGTTTTCAATGAAATCGTTGTCGCCAGGGACGCTGTCGTGTAAAACAGATAGCACTTTCATTTTGCTTTTCTTTTTTAGAAAGAAAACTCAAAAAAAATCTATATAAATTTCAAAAGAAATAGAGAAAGAAGGAAAAGTGCTATATGCTTCCAACGACAGCGTGCCTAACGACAGCGTTTTCAATGAAAACGTTGTCGCCAGCTTGCAAAACATATAGCACTTTCATCTTGCATGGTTTGAGTTTGGTTTTCTTTTGGAAAAAAGTCAAAAAAATCTGTATATAAATTTTAAAAGAAAAAGAGAAAGAAGGAAAAGTGCTATATGCTTCCAACGACAGCGTGCCTAACGACAGCGTTTTCAATGAAAACGTTGTCGCCAGGGACGCTGTCGTGTAAAACACATAGCACTTTCATTTTGCTTTTCTTGTGGAAAGGTTAAAAAAAAGTAAATAAATTTCAAAAGAAATCGAGAAAGAAGGAAAAGTGCTATATGCTTCCAACGACAGCGTGCCTAACGACAGCGTTTTCAATGAAAACGTTGTCGCCAGGGACGCTGTCGTGTAAAACACATAGCACTTTCATTTTGCTTTTCTTGTAGAAAGAAAATTCAAAAAAAAATCTATATAAATTTCAAAAGAAATAGAGAAAGAAGGAAAAGTGCTATATGCTTCCAACGACAGCGTGCCTAACGACAGCGTTTTCAATGAAAACGTTGTCGTCAGGGACGCTGTCGTGTAAGACAGATAGCAAATTTCTTTTGAATTGAGAGATCTTGGCAAGCTGAAAGACAAAATACATAGAAAATATTTTCCTAAAAATTGAGATTGAAAAAATGAGTCAGAACTTATAGAACGCAATGTGTTACGCACGACAGTGTGCCCCAGCAAATATGTTCAGCTGCATAGAAGCTGTGGCTGACATCTTGTCCAACAGGGACGCCGTGTATGTGCAATGGCGCTCTTTGCACTGCAAGTAAGAAACATGGCAGGCTTGGCCATGGATCCTATACAATCTCTCGAGCCTTGACAGCCCGAGGCTGCGCTCTGTACCTCATGCCTTTTTATCCTGGCGTCCACACTAAACGGGACCACCACGAAACAGTCAAGCAAAGCACTGTTCATGACGAAGCAGGGCATGCCAAAGCTCTGTGTTAGGATATCTTGGGTAAAGGATGTCACACATGCTCTTCAGTATTCATCTTCAGGGCTATATATATATATTTATTTATTTATCTATGTATATATATATGTGCAAACACAAATACACGCTACTTACATGTGTACACAATTTTTTCTATACATGAACTTCTGTATTTATCCTGGCTCCCAAATATACATATATACACACAAACAAAGACGTTTCGGTAGGCATAGACATAGACATAAATTTAGGTGTGCACATGAATTACACATATATCCCCATACATTGATGTAAACTGAAACACTGAACAAACATGTGCCGACTTGGTTTGCCTCAGCCCAAACTTGGTATTGCAGCCTGGGGGAAAAACCGAAGGGGGTTCATAAGGAACCATAAGAACACGCCCGTGGCAAGGTCCAGAAAAACAACACAAGTTTGGTTTGACTTCCATTTAACACCCTATTGTGCTCAGGGTGCACTCATTTCTTTTGCGCCATACCCATTGGACGTTTCCAAAGGGAGAACACATTCGAGAAACTTCAAAATCATTAATCCCGGAAGAAATGCATAGGCCTATTGCTATGGCTCAAAAGAAAATCATTCTAGACGGGTCCCACTTTTTGACATCCCACCATCTCAAATCTGAGAAGAGGCATTGCCCAGTGTTGTTTCCCCAGCAGAAACTCGCGACGTCTTCGTGGTTTGATGGCTCAGAATCCTTCCCACAACTATGGACATACTGTGGATGGAAGAAATCCTGCACCAGTTGATAGGTAGTTTGTTCCATTATTTAAAGGGTTTCAACTATCCAAGGTGGTGCAGGATTTTTCCATCCACGGTATGTCTTTGTACAAATGCGCAAAGATAGATAGGTAGATATCTACGTATATTGAAAACTAGATATACATATATAAACTCTATAAATATATTTACATATAGATCTATCTATATATATATTTATTTATTGATTGATTTATTTATTTATATATTTACAGATAGCTAGGTATATATATATATATTTATATTTATACAGATAGCTGGATATATGTATATATATATGTGTGTTTGCTTGTACTTTTGTACTTGCACTTGAACCACCAAGAGAAACCATGTAAAACCAGTATGCATTTTTTGGAGGTACGCTGATAGAATCTGATAGAAGCTGAAGGGGTCGATTAAAAAATATCTACGACATAATTTTTTTGCAGTGCAAACCTATGGAACCCAAACCACAAACATCAGGGCTTTTGTGCCCTTGTGGAACCTAGCTCTCAGCCAGCACATGCGGTCTGGAGACAGCAGCGCTCTCAGCTTTTTCCCCGGGTGTGTTGCTTTCAGTTGTCTTCGCACGAAGTATCGTGCCAACGAATCGAAAGAAACAACAGGTATCTTTGGAAAAGTCGGTGCATCATGTTGGCCTGATGACACCTCACCCCTATCCGTTTCAAGTATCCTAAGAAACTCTCATCGTTGTTGCACTGGTGAACCTTCCTTGGATTCAGTAGCGTCCTCGCAATGTCCCTGCCAAGATGGTCAAAGTAGTGGTGTTTTGGCCTGAGCTTATACAAAAGCAGCCCCAACTCCGTGCATCGGTGGGCAAGGTGTTGCCATGCCACGAGATGTACCTCCACCTTTCTGGCCACGTCCTCAATGGATGGAACATGGGTATGAGCCGGTTTATGCACTAGAAGAAACATGGTAAAATCCAGGCTATCAACTTCAAGAGCTGGTGGGGTGAACAGGAAAACCCCAAGTTTGGAATGATTATGATTCCCTTTTTTTTGCTTGTTGTATCCCATGACTGCTGGAATGATCTTAAATTAAAATAGTTAAAAAGTTTCGCTGTGTCCCACCAGGCGTCCGTACCATCAGTCTCTGTGAACAAGATATCAGAGTGATCCATCTGAAAAAAAGCTGCATAGATATAGTAGTGGCAAATCGCAATCAGACGCAGCATTGAATCCTAAAGTGGTGAATTGTGATTTGGCAAACAGTTGAATCCAATATCCCACCATACTCCAGCTCAAATTTTGGGAGCCAGTTCAAATACCCAACCAACATCAAATAAGAACTTTCTGAATGAAACAAAATTTCATCAGGATGTTTCTCCGAGATTTCCATGGCAATTTTGGCAAAGAACCACAAGGCACTCTTCATGAACGAAGCCTTGAAGGAACTTCCCAACTCAGGGTAGGTGCTTGGTTTGTCCAACCCCGTGTTTGCCGGTGTGAACCTTCTGACCGATATACGTATCCTTGTCTGGTGGTGGCAAGCTACCCACTTGGAAGTAACAATTTGGGGTAGGCTACAGGATCCATATGAACATCACCAACCAAAACATTTGTCCATGTGAGGGTCCCCAACCAATAACATCAATATTTTGTTTTTATATTACTATGTCATGATCGCCATTGAACTTCCCACATTGAACTTCCCCAATAAGACATTCATAGATCCAAGCGACGGTCTTGAAGCAAGATATCTTCCATCCATGAAGTATCCGGCCAAAGAAAAATTATCCAGGTGACAAATTCCAACCAACATCTTATCATATCTTATCCATGTAGAAGCCACCCACTAAGATATTGAGATATCCCCAACTGAAACTCCCGACTGAAATGTTTTGCTTACATAACATAAGCGGGTGCCTCAGGAAAGTTGAAGACCTTTCATCTTGGGTTACACAATGAAAACGAAAACAATCAGATTCAAGAATCTTTTCCTTTCGACATTCCGTTCTCATCTTCATGGAAAATTCCGCTAATCGGTCAGCCAACGTACCAGAGCCGAAGAAATCATTCCGGATCCAAAACCCCAGAGAACTGGCATACAAATCACGGCAAGTACCCAGAAACACTAGGTGCATAGGGTCGTGAAAGCAAGACTTGATGTGCCACCCCTGCACTGCCATCCAAGGTGAGTGTGGACCAGGACCTCGAACATAGTCAGCGAAGCCTCAGGAGGCTTGGGTATGTGAGCAGCTATGGTACATCCTTGGTGGAGTGGTGGCTTTTTAGCTTTCAGGAACTTAGACATCAAAACAAAACATTGGAGGCAATGCTTCAGCAATTAAGAATCGTACCAATTGGCGCTAGCCTATGTGCAGCACTACTGTGAAAGTTCTTGTAGAGCATGTGGGGAAGCAAATGCTTGTTGTGCTGTTCCGCTAGGCAATTCATGCAAAGCTTCGAATGCTGATATGTCCTGGTAAAAAAATTGGTTTCCTTTCGTGCTTTCTCATCGGCCCGGAATCCAAAGTAGACACATTTCCATTTGCCACCGGCTAGAGGTTTGCCCTTCAGTTCCAAACGGTGACCTTTGAGTGGCTCACCCATGAAACCTTGTTCTGGAAAAACCCCAGACCACGCAGCTTGTAGTGACCATCCAATCACTTTGGCGACAGTGTCATGCACATGGGATTTCACTTCGTCAGTTTGGATGCATTGATGGGGCAATACGACCAGTGGGTATCGAGTGTCAAAAACATGGCCTTCCGCCAGGACTGATGACATACTCCAACATATGTATTCAGAGTTGCTATAAAACTCTGCACCATCAGTGTGTAGACAAAGTGGTATGGTGCCTCGCTACAACCCCTTTGCTAGTCAAAAACAATGTTCTTTTGAACAATCGCTCAACCAAACCAAAACATTATAAGACTTGAACATTATGCAACAAATGTGAACCACGACGCAATGGTAAAGGTCAGGGTTCGTCAGGCATGGGTGGTTGCGCCATTCGTCCAATGAGCAACAGTGCTTCCAAAAATGGGAGATGCTTTCTGAACTTCGGTGGCCGGTCATAGAACGAGCAAACTGTAGGGTTCAAGGGAATACAATTTTTCAAAACAGCTGAAATATCTTTGTAAAATCGATACAAAATATGTTTTCTTTTGTGCCCCTAACTCAAGTTTTTGGCTCCAACCTGCAATGGTCCAGCTTCATAAACCGCGTGAAGAATCTCATGTGGCAGTAAGAAAGGCACATCGACTGGCTGCGCCACCTTCTCGAAGTCAACCTGAGCTGTTCGAATATATTGCTCACTATTATGTTCTTGATTTGTAAAAAAAAACAGAAAACAGAGTCCACATATATAAAATGTATTGTCCAGAAACTATCAAGTTCATGGTCACCTTGTAAACGGTAAGCTTGACACCCCAGAGTGAATGCAACCATTTGTGGAGATCGCGTTCTTGGTTGGCCGCGTGACGACCCCCAGTCCCTAGACTGCTAAAAGCCTCTAGCGCTGCACTAGGAAGACCATCCTTGATGTTTGCCCTGGCCAAATCACAGATTTCAGAAACATTGGCCCGTCCACAGCCAAGCATACCTTGGCAGAAACGATGGGTATGATTGGGTTGGGGCTTGCTAATTTTGGGAATACAACTTTTTAAGTTTGGTCTTAGGTTGCTAAACCGTCACACCAAAATTTCACTCATAGAAAGCAAAGGTTCGGATGTATGACTGCGCCGTCTGGCATGTCGGCATTTGATCATAAGCTGTTTGCCTTCCGGTGCTTTTTTTCGTCATCTGCATGTTAAAAAAATCAGTTGCAAAACTTTTGTAAGTGGAAGGGTCCACAATTCACAACAACTGGAAGCGTCCACATTCCCACAGTGTAACCCACAGAAGCGTCAGGCCTATGCCGATGGCGACCATTGGCCTTGCAGGCACCTGCGTGGGACAAGTCTGGGCGCATGGCATGGGTGGTTGCATGGGTCAATGTGGTGGGGCCAGGACTCATCCAACAATTCAATTTTCTCAGAATGGATCAGATCTTCAACTCAGCAATGCTCCTTTGGCGTGAGACCACTGTAAGACAATCAAGCTGGGAACTGTCAAATCTCAGGAAGTTTTTTTTGATGAAACCATATTAAACAGAAAGCCCAGATTGTGTTCTAACTTTCTTTAATCATTGAATTCCCAGCACTGCGATTGCTTCCCTCAACGGGTCGCCATTTTCACTGCTACCGGCAGCCTTGCTATGCAAGGGCTTTCAACCAAAACCAACACAGCCTATCAGGCAGTCGGGGATGATGAGAGAGATTCAGATAGATAGATAGATAGGTAGGTAGATAGATTAGATTGGATTAGATTAGATTAGAATAGACTAGATTAGATTAGATTATAGATTAGATTAGATTATAGATTAGATTAGATTAGATTAGAATTAGATTAGATTAGAATTAGATTAGCTTATAGATTAGATTAGATTAGATTAGAGATTAGTTTAGATTAGATTAGATTAGATAGATAGCAATAGATAGCAATAGATAGCAATAGATAGCAATAGATTTGGAAAATTTCAAATAAATTCAGATTCAGATAGATTCAGATAGCTAGATGAATAGATCGATAGGTGGATGGATAGATACCATTTGTATGTATATATAATGTATACATCAACAAGTTTACAAATACAAATATTGACCACCCCATTTTTTTGATTTGGGAAACATCCCCAACTCCTACCCTGAGAAGGCCATGGTCACCACGGTCAGACAATCTCCTCTCAGGAGGCCTTGTCTTCATCCGCCTGCTTTCCCTCCTGACCCGCCTTCTTTCCTTTGCTTCTGTTGGCCTTCCCTTTCTTTGTCTTCAGGCCACTCAGCAATGCTTTGGCCGCCGACTGGCAAGCACGGTGCTGAACCCGGTGTTGGGAAATGGATTGGTGATACAAACAAACAGGTTCAAAGCTTGGAAAATGAATGTCATTCTTTGCTTTCACCAAGTTGGTTTTGGCTGATGGTGTGACATTGAAATAAAATAAACAACATGTGCGATTTGGGTTTCCTAGTCCAAGTGCCGAAGCCTGCAAATGGTAAACCCATTCGATATATAGTAGGAATATCATGCCCAACCCTTTCCCATTCGAGCCTCTGCCTTGTCAAACCATGCTGCCTTTTCTTCTATGATTGCGAAAAACTTCTGGTAACATTTTGGATTCGCAGTCTTCTCCTGTCGCAACTGCTGCATCTTCTTGTATACTTCCTCCATTTTTGTGTTGAACTTGAGAAGCTCCTTCACCAGGTCTCCACTGTATTCCAACGTACCAAGGGAGATGGCATATTTTCTCGCCTCTGCCCCTTTCTTGAGGCACTCCTCCATTTGCGAGACAGCCAGCCTGGGCAGAACAATGGAGAGATGATGAGGCGAGGTTGGCTTGCTGCATATACATGGTGAAAATAGGTTTGGATAGATGTGTTCAAAATCAGAAAACGATCAGTTCAATTCCATGGGATATGCGAGGTAACCAGTGATCCACATGAAAGTTTCCAGACCAGTACAGCACTGCTAAGGGTTGGGCTCTTCAGAAGTCTTCGGCTCCATTTTTTCGGTCTTGTCTTTCTTTTCCTTCTTCGCTTTCTTCTTGTCAACCTTCTCATCGGTCAAAGCTTGCGTCAATGCCTGCTGACCCGCTTCGTTGGCCACTCGGGCAGCTGGCTGCAACCCTGCCAACAATGGCCCATCGCCCGTCGTGAGGGCTTCGACGAGCTCTTTGTTGTTGGCGTCTCGGACAGTAACCGCAGTGGATTCTTTGGTCATGTCATCGTTGCGAACCAGGTCACCCTTGCCAACATAGTAATAGATTTCCTGCAAGCAAATGGCAGCTACAAAGCTTTTGGGATTGTTGGCAGGAATCAGTGGCTGGATCATAAAATCACACCCACTGCTATTGCAGAACGAAGAGGGCAGATCTACTAGTTGGCCCGAAATGGTTTCAAATAATCTGATTTCAATTTTGTTGGAACCTGACGCATTGCGAGGGAAGAATTTTCATGAGGCTTCCCCATGCATGATATCAGGATAGGGTAGGTGGATTCAGAGCTTGAAACATTTCGTTTCTTTTGGAAAAATCTTGCATGAAAAAGAAACCTGCCCATGCAATGTGTGAACATCAAGATCGGATAGGTTGTCGTATCAAATAATCCTTTGTTTTTCCTAATTGGTGAGCCCCGGAACAAACCAGACAAAAGAAAACCAAACAACTCTGTCAGGAATTGGACCAGACCAAGACGACTACCCAACCAGTCCTCTTCGTCCTGATCGAAGTCAGGGTCCCAGTACCAGAGGTTTCGTTCCTTCAGCGAGCGCATCAATTGCTCCGCTTTGGCCTTTGGGTATTTCTGGTAGATGTCACGTGACTTCAGCCCTTCTCTCTCCTTTCGATTCAGCGTCAATTTCTCAGCTTTTCTTTGGATCGTGATCTCCACCCTCAGGAACCGGAAGCACGGTGCCCAAAAGAAAGCATTGGAGGAGCAGTTCAGCAGGGAATGGGCTGATGGGTGAGAGACACTTGAAGCAAACGTCAAGCAAGTTGAAATTGAATATCATGAGAGACAATTGAAGCAAACGTTACACAAGTTGAGATTTAACTATCATCCCAACATTTCAGAATATGAACTTTTCTTTCAACCAAGTTGCTTAGACCAGTCTTGGGAGCACTCGAGCCACTGCCGAAACAAGTCATTTTTGTCTCGCACAAAGTGCGAGGCAAGACTTTGAGGGAACTTTTTCCGGTCTAGGGCTTGTCTGTTGAACTTGTCCCACTCAGCCTTATGAGTCACACCTTAGTGGTTCAGCACAGCCAACTCCCAAGGAAAGAGTTGACAAGCTATAGGCCACCAAAAGCTCGAAAACACCCTTTTCAGTGTTATGGCCATGACACTTTCTGCAGTTTTCTATGAGCGGATTAAAAGGTCAAAGGCTTGCAAGAAATGGGAACATACCTGATATCTAACCTGAGTATACCTGAGTGAGCGATTTGAATATATTTGTATATATAAAGGCTTCCAGAAAATGCAAACAAAGCTTGAATGTCCATATGATCACATGCTTTCTGTTTTGACTGCAAACATGGGGCCTTGAAACTTTGTACACAATAGTCAGGGCAGTGTTGAGTTGGTCTCAAGTTCAAAATGCTGACTAGATGCTATTTGCATTGTCGAACTGCGAGCCAGATGAAGCCCTCTGTTGCTCTACCACTTCTCCCAAGTCTTTGTTTTCCTTCTCTTCCTTGTCCTTGTTCGCTTCCTTCGTCCCTTCCTCTCCTGGCTTCTCCTGCTTTTTCTTTTCCTCTTCCTCTCCTGACTTCTCATCTTTCTTCTTAGGTTCCTGTTCTTTCTCTTGGGATGCCCCCCTCTCACCAGCTGCATGGAGAGGGAAACATTCATCCACAAGTGTGTCAAACTCCGCCAAGTCTTCTGCAGTGAGACCTGTTTCCTTGCCCTTATCTTCTTCATCGTCATCTTCTTCTGCCTCCTCCACATCACTTTTCTCACAGTCTTCACTTCCATCCAAAGACTCCTGCTCACTGTCACTGCTGGTTGGAACAGTCTGCGCGCTTGCCTCAGATGAGTCTGAGTCCTCTGATTCATCATCCTTCTCTTCTTCATCATCATCTTCACCTTCATCTTCATTGTCTTCTTCTTCTGGGTCCTTGTTTGGGTCTGCTCTGTTGCCTGCCTTGACAGTCGAGAAGACCTGTTGCTGCCTCTTCCTTCTTATAACCATCCTCCTTCTTAGAAGACTTAGAAGAAGAAGGATGTTTTGACTTCACCATTCCAACAGCAGGACGACCGCTGCAAAAGACAGGAAAACAGGACGGGTGCGCTGAACCAACCGTTCGTGGCTGAATGGATATGCACAGGGTGTCTCCCAATCGTGGCTGAATTGATCTAATCGTGGCTGAACCTATTACCCAGGGATGAAAACTGTTTATCCAGGGCTCTGGACCTACCATGTTTTACCATGTTTTTGGGTTCGTGGCTGTTCTACACCAATCGCGGCTGACTTCTCAACAAATCGTGGCTGAATTTGGAACCAATTCCAAAAAAAATAATGAAATTGTTTGGGAACCAAATCTTTGCCACCCCACCAGAACAAATAACCTACAGCACAGAAGGGCAAGGCACAGGTGTGCTGGGGCGTACCTTTCAAGATTCTTTTGAGAACCAATCTTCCCATTTTCACCTGGCAGGATCATGGGCATTGTGAAATTTTCCCAATTCTTAGGGAGTGTTGGCCACTATAGGGTTGGCAACATATGGGGCTGCTTCACTCATTCATGAACCAAGGAAGCAACTGCAGGACGGAATTAGGATTTGGGACCCTTGAAGTTGGCAGTTTTTAACTCAATGCCGCTCCATCAAACGGTTTCGCTGCAAGTACTAGCTGGACTTTGTCTTAACAGCTACCCAAGAACATCCTGTAGGGACCAATTACCCACAAGACGAACTTTAATTAGTGAAATCACCTGAACTGGATATGGCACTATGCCAAAAATTCCAGAACTGGATTCAGGTTGGCACATTTTAGCCACAAACCATCTTTTCGGGTACAACGCTTCATGATCTGGGACTTTCGAGCATGCTGCTTGATCAGGCGCAAAGCCCGGCGACGGTTCTCCTTTGCATGTCTAGTTCTCAGCTTTGCCAGAGCAACCCCAAACCTGGGCGACCAGAAGTTTGGGGATCGAAAGCACTTCTTCCTTTTTGATCACACTTCCATTGTGTTTGTTGACTTGTTCACCCACTGGTATGTGAGATTGCTCTACTTTATCGGGGTTGATTGACAACCAGAGATATTCACCGATTGCTAACTGATCAGTGGTGATCCCACAATCCTCCCTCAATACGAATGGTGCAATGGAGTATTGGCTCATGACCTGTGGTGATATAAGCCAATTTAGGAGATGTTTCCGATGTGAACAAACAAGGGATGGAGCACTGGGCATATGTTTCAAACATACATACATACATTACATTACATTACATTACATTACATACATACAAACACTCTTGCATGCATGCATGAATGTGTGCATGCATACAACGCATACATGCATACATGCATACATGCTTGCCATACCATACACCATACCACACCATACATACCATACATACCATACACACCATGCATACCACACATACCACGCACACCATGCCAGCCATACCAACCATACCAAACATACCAATCATACCAAACATGCCATACCATGCACGGCATACATGCCTTACATGCCTTACATGCCTTACATGCCTTACATGCCATCGATCCATCCATCCATCCATGCATACATACATACATACATTCCATTCCATTCCATTTCATTCCATCCCATTCCATTCCATTCCATTCTATACATTACATTACATTACATTACATACATACCAAACATACCACATCACACCACACCACACCATACCATAAAGCAAGCAGCCCCAAAGGATAGGCCTGACTAGCCTTCAAATTGCCATTGCCTTTGACGCGGCGGTTGCCGTCAGCATCGTAGTAATGGTCAACCAGGGAAATGGTCTGGGTGCTTTTGGTGCGAGGTTTGAACTCACCCAGCTGCGAAATTTCTTCATTGCCTTGGTTTTCACCCCGGGGATTTATAAAGAACCACCACATGTGAAATGTTTACCTCTGTTCTTATCAAGAAGTTGTATGATCTTACAATGGTCTTGCCGATACAAACATGCATCCTACTTGCCCATACTATGTCGGAATCGTAAGAACAAAGCTTTCGAAATTGTAATTTCCCTGGTTGTTTGCCACCCCAAAAAAAGCCCCCCACAAGTCTACTTCCAATAACATTCTTCCTATAGTTTTCCTACATATTTGGTGGGTTGCTGGGGCCTTTTTGGGGTGCCAAACCAACCGGAAACTTTCTATTCCGAATGTTCTCTCTATACTGTATACTGAATCTTGGAAATCGAGTAACTGCTGTAAAGCCATGTAGGCTTCTCGGACATGCCCCCAAAATCACCCATGAGCAGACGATGGCGGTAGCAATCTAGACAACCCATGAGGTGCTGGAAAACCGGAAGTTCCTGCATCCACGATCCCTGTGGTTGTTCCAAAACCCACCACACCCCAAGAGCCGCGCAGACCCATAAGATTATGAGTGTGCGTGCTGCAAGACGGTTTCCAGAAAGCACCGATTCGTAACATTCTTGTCCATAGGGATTGCTTTCTGATCTTCGGGCTGTACCCGAATTCCTTGGAAGGCGGCGACAGCAAAGCTCCAAATCTAAACAAATTAACTGATTTGCTTTCATTGGCGCACATTGCAATTATCATTAAAGGTGAATGAACCAATGATGTGTTTCCCATAATTAGCCTTAATTTGAACCCCAACTTGTTATAGGCCTAGTATTGTGAATGCTCAATTGGATAGTTGGATCTCTCAAACTGAAGTGCCGTTTTGCGTTCCAAAACTGGAACCCCTTTTGCACAAATGTTTCTTTAAAGGGGCAAATTTTCGCACCAAAAACGGAGCCCTTTGTGGGCCTAATTTTGAAACAATATTTTTCATTCTCTGTGAGCCAAAAAAAGTTGTAGACTTGGCCCTGAAAATGGTCATGGGAGATTCTGGCCCCCCACAAACACTCCCATAAACTATAAACTTTTGGGTTATAGACTTATGGAAATAAAACCAAATATCACAGGTTGGGCTGTTTGTCCAATCCCTTCCGGTGCTGAGGCGCATGTATACAAAGCTGGAACATACCGGAGCTGCCAAGCACCCCGATCCAGGGCGAAGGCACGTGGCATGGTAGAGCGCTGACACGAAACCGGTGTTGGTCAGCATATTCATGGTTTCCGGGTTGTGATCCAGGTCCATTGCCACTGAAGAAGTTCGACCCTCCTAGATTGGGAAGAAAACTATTGTTTGAAACACTATTGCCACTATGGGCCTATATGGACATTCTTTTCGTTGCTGATCATGGGATTCCTCCAAATGGTTCCCTGCATTGGTGAGCAACAAATATGTTTCCCATCGTTTGTGCATGTCGAACATTTAGCATTTGGGGGGTGCAAAACAGACACATCACGTTTCAGCTTCATCTACCCAACTCTTTTTGGCTATCCATTCGACCCCATTTCATCCAACCCTCTCAGTCCTGGAATTCCCCACGTGTAACTGAGCATTGCCCTGCAAACAGCTCTAGATGATCCAGTTCATGGCCAGGCCCCCACTTCAACGAAGGGATTGCAAAGATGCTGGTGACCAGCACTCCAATAACCTCATACGTTTGCGTGGGGAGTAATCCTTTGAACCTATATCAAGTCCCTCCATCATGGTATGTTCCCGAATGTTGAAATTGATGTTCAAAACATAGTGGGGTCAATTGACCCGCTTGGGTTAATGATCACCAGTGGATATTTCGAGATTTGACTTTTGCATGGGGCAAACAAAAACATATTGAAGGGCTGGGGAACCATTACCCAACAACAGGATGTGAAGGGAGCTAGGTGGATTCCAGTGTTGCCAGGGGACAGCAGGGGCCTTCAATGCCCGCAGGCCTTGAAGAATGGTGCGCTTCTTCACTTCTTTGAAGGACATTTTGGGTGGGTCCATCACCGGTGTCTTTGCATGTGCAAAGGCAAGCACGGTGCGCTTGCTAACAACCCTTTTACCCATGATTCCCAAGGCACTGACTAGCAAGTGTACCCCTAGATCACGATGGATTGAGCTTTGAATGGCTGTGAAAAAGAAACTGTAAAGTTATGGTGCAATGGTTGCCTGACCTAAACGAAGAGTTTTCCCATGAGATAGCTTCACCATTACAACGGGTCTCAACATGTGACTTCTCACCAAGTATCATCAATGCAACCGGCAAAACCCGAAGAGATATATGGCTCTTTTTGGGGTTGATTGGAGGCAGCAGTTGAAATTTTGGGTCTTTGAAATAATGAAGCTTGTTTTTGCCAGCCTTCTTCCACATCCATCCGTAGATAACTAATCTCCCTGAAATGGCAAGCGGGAGCTTCACAGGTGTTGATGCTTTGCATCGCTTCCCCTGACAAGCATTTTCCAAAATGCCTACGAAACCCAAATGTAACTTTGTTGGCATCACATACTTTTTGACATGCAACCGGTCGCATACCCATGCATTTGCGCAAACATTTCGAATCATAGAATCAACAAAATCTTGGGATTCAGCTGGTGTTCAAACACATCCTGTGGGTTGCGGTCTACAGCTGCACATCTAGAAAGTTGAACTCAAAATCAAACACAGGACACATCCTAAGGCAGCACCCCTGCTTTGGTGCAGGCACTGATCCAAGCCGAAACGACACCACCAAATTTCGACCATGTAATTTGGCCATTGAATTTCTCCGATCCCTTCACCACGAAAGCTTTCGCCCTCAGTAACACCTCGATCCTGGCTGCACCACGGTTCACTGTGTAGCTGTGGCAGCCATGATGCACCTTGTCAGGACTCGGCAAAGCGTTGCCTGAGCAGATGCAGCCGGGCTCTCTGGTGGTTGGGGATTGAAAGAGGTCGATATGTGACTTACCTTCTTGGATTCAATCTACATGCTATACATCTCTCTTTGTTTTTATCCATGGGTCTATGGATTAGCCTGCCTATGCTTTCTATCCATGAACTGTTCGATCTTGTTTTGAACATGTAAATAAATAAATATATCTATATATATATGCACACATATATGTATATATATATATTCATTTGCGTATTTAAACACCCCTATATGAATGTGCAAACACGATGATCTTTATATATATATATATTTATCTATTTTGGAACAAGTACTACAACATGCACACCAGTGAGGAAGTGGAGAGAACGCGAGAGGAATGGACAAGGACTTTAAAACGATAGGTCCCCAACCACTCTTTTTGGGGACCTATCGTCTTATATATTCATTTGCGTATGTACACCCCAATAGCAATGTGCAAACTCGATGATCTCTCTCTTTCTCTATATATATACATATATGTTTATAGATATGTAAAAATAAGTAAGGGAGTAAGTAAGCAAGCAAGTAAATAAGTAAGTAAGTGAGTAAGTAAGTGCAATCTGTAAATATATATAATATACCTACAATCCTTTGCTGACGCGAAAGAATCATGGGTGCTATGAATACATAGAGAATAAAAGACCAACATGGGGATACATACAGAATAATAGACCAACATGGGGATACATAAAGAATAATAGACCAACATGGGGATACATAAAGAATAATAGACCAACATGGGGATGTCTCTCAAAAGTGGTGCCCATGAGTGCCCCAATACAATTTTTTGAACATTGGAAGCCAACAGGTGGGTGAATGCAAAATATGGATTTCTGAACATATCCGACATGGACCACGTGATTGAAGCCTTTGGAAAACCAGCCAACCCTTTTGTCAAGCGGCGGGGGATCTCCATCTTGGTCAAGTTGTATTCGTGGTACATCAGGTCACTCGGCTCCTGCAAATTCGGTCCCAGGTCCGACCAAGGAGATTGGATGAATGAAGGTTTTGTTTGTGGGTTGGGTTCATGTAAAACCGAGTCTTTGAAGAAGGCTCCTACTTATTGTCAAGCGCCCACAAGCCCTAACAAAAAACAGATCAATCCTTGCAACCTTTTGACCAGAAAGGACATACATCATATCAGAACATTTTTGGGACAACACTTTGGTTTGCCAAAGGCTTTCTATATTATTGGAACTATGAAAATTGGCCGCCATGGGGGCCACAAAAACATTGGAATGTCTCAAAATAGGGGATCCCGAAACTTGATTCTTTTATATTCTTTTATTGAAACATAAAAAGTTTCGGGATTCCCTATTTTTAGACATTCCCAAATGTTGATAGAATCACTGCCGATGCACTGGGTGAGGAGGAGGATTCACAGATGCTTCGGCCTCCACTGCCTCATGAGATTCACGAGGTGCCGCAGCACGCTTGGGGTGGCCGTGGCGGCGGCGGAAGGATGCCTTCTTGTTGCCACCCTTCTTCTCCTTGAGTACCTTGCCCTTCACGGTCGATTCCTTCTTCTTCTTGGGGTTCACCTGAAAAAAGCCGGGAAGGGGGTGATACATCTTGCTATCCCTGAATAATATTTGGTATTCTCTATCAATCTTGCTGCTGTCTTGGATGAACTGTGGTAAACACCAAACAGATCAATTAAGCACATCAGGTTGGTCAAGTAGCCTGGGGGCCAATGAATGGGGCATCGCACATCATCAAGTCATCCACAACAGCATCAAAAGATGTAGGTGGCTTCAAAGATGGCATCTTCACGCTGGTTTCTGGAAGTTTCGATGGCATGGGCTCATCGATTCCCATAATGCCCAGGGCTTCATGAAACGATTCCTCCAACGCTTTTTTAGTGGCAGCTTTCCATCGTTTTCGTTCTGCAATGGTAGGCTTCTCCCATGGAGAAGATGGTATCAGAGTATCTCCAGACAACTCAGATTCAGACCCCGTATCCTTAGATGGTAAATCTGATTGAAAACGATCACAAGAGACAGAGAACCCCGCTCAGAAGGAAGTAAGTAAGAACCCCTGGCTTTTAAAGCTATAGCAAACGGCCCCTCATGAAGCACTTTAAATTTTGATAAATTTTGTGAATAAAATGAGGCCATGAACCCCTGGCCATATCACATTTCTTGGCAAGTCACTTCCACATCCTTCGGGGATTCAACCTTCTTCTCCACCCAAGACTTGTCCACCGCTGCATCCGAAGCCTTGCCCTTCTCCTTCCGGATCTTGACAGTGCTCATCGGCTCTTCATGATCAGGGGCATGACGTTTTGCAGGAGTGATGTACTTCCGAGCATTCCGAGACTCCTCAATCCTCTTGAGGGCGCCGACAAAACCACCATCACCATCATCTTCGGCCGAAGATGCAGGACTTGGAGGCAATGGGGGCACATGAAGGCATGCCAGGTTAAACCCATGAGCCGTGTTGCCCTTGGAATCTGCCGGAAGATTGGGCACATCAGCTCCCAAATCCAGAGACTCACCATCCGAGCTGTCAGACTCCTCGCTTTCATGGTAAGATTTGTCGAATGGCGGCACAGCATCACAGGGGGCATCAGTTGTCACACCGGCCGCACCGACAACCTCACTGCCTCCATCAAGTTCAGATTCATCAGACTGATCCGCTTCAGCTGCAGGCAATGGGTCAGGGCTCACTTCTCCCAAGACAAGAGTCTCGTCATCATCATGGCAAGGGCTGCCTGGATTGGCAGTGTGATGGTCTTCAGAATCATCTTCCGATGATGACGAGCCATCCTCATTCGAAGCCTCCACATCACCCGAATCATCCTCCCCAGCATCCCCAGCATCACTTGTAGCATCTTCCAATGCCTAGCGCAAAGAGAAGTATAGGGACATTCAGGGAAAGGTTGAAGGAATGTCTTTCAATGAAATTTTTATTTTGGTAGTACTGGTTGGCCCGCAGAAGCTTGCACGAATACTGTATATGATCCATCAAGGTCTCCAAACTATTTCTGTTTCACACTTCCTGAACATAAGGATAAGAGGTCAATCACAAACCCGCATAACCTTTGCCTCGTTCATATCATCATCTTCTAGAACTGGGCGACGGGCAAGCCGACGACGAACCTGGTGGCATGAACCCCCCAAATGTTAAGAGCAGAACAGGGGCCACCACAAACAAAAAAACGTGTTAACGTTCAAAGATTTTTTTTGAATCGGGCAGGCAACTGCACTGGCAGGGGACGGGCGCAACATTGACTTCAGCTCTCCAACCCGAGGATGAAAACTCTTCATGCCTGGGTGTAAGGCTTCAAAGACTAAATCCCAGAAAGGGTTCCAAACTTTTCACCACTGGAGTGACTAGAAAAAGAAACCAATTTAGTCCCAAGCTTAAATCATTTTTGGCAACATTTTTGACCACGGGGTTTTAAAAAAAAAGTTAAAGCTAATCCAATTTAGGCACTATTTCGGAAAAGATAACGCAACGCCCCTATGAGTTTCTTCGCTCTGCCTCCTTCTTCCGAAGCTTGCACAACCTTCGCGACGCCAGGTTTGCAGAGCAGGGTCCCATCCAAGAGTTGGTCAAGATACCTAGGCGCGGTGGGTCGGGTGTGCAAACCACAAAATAGGTGCTCCTGAAAAAAAACATCCCCCCAGTCAATCGTTTTGCAAAGGGTTTCCCATGAATGAAAATCATTATATAAGATTGCGTGTCTGACGCATCAACAGTTTATAAACCTCCAAACCAGTCATATGGAGCTGGCTGTACTTGGACCCTGTTCTTTTTGTGGCAAGATGCAGAAAGACGTCCGTCAAAACAAGTGCCCCGGGCACACTGGTGGGCCATTGGCGCACCATGGGCTTCAACCAGATGTAGTTCGCCGCTATTTCCTCTTGGGGTGAATGTTCATCCATGAAAAAAGAAAAACTGGTACGGCATGGAATTGGAATAGAATGGAACGGAATGGAATGGTTTGTGACGACATAGACGGGCTCTTAGATGGGTGCATCTCTACAATTACACTTCTCCTATTTTAACTTTTTAACATATCATAGGAATCATATTTTGTCAAGTTCTCAACCCTTGTCCCGGAATGAAGGGCGGTGAATCTCTGACTCCAGCTTGATCAAGTCAGCTCCCTGAAAGCCGCTGCTCCGGATCAGGTTCAACGCTCGCTCTGGCAAGCTCTCCAGCATCTCAGCGGCCACAGAAGCCTTGGGCTGGGGCAGGCTGTACCTTAAAATCTTACAAATAATTTTGGGGGCCCTCAAAGGGTAACTTGGTCTCCAACTGGCTGCCTAACATTTGTGGTGGTTTTCCAAAACTAAACAGGATCAAAATCAAACCTATCAAGATAGAAGGGGAGTCAAGATATGCTATCAACCAATCCCCAAACCAAAATGCGTCAGAATTAGTCAGATAAGCTATAAGTTGAGAATCCACCTCTGAAATCAAACCTATCAAGATAGAAGGGAAGTTAAATGTGTTATACACCAATCCCCCAGCAAACACGTATAGTCAGATAAGTTATAAGTTAAGAATCCACCTCTGAAATCAAACGGGGTCAAAAACGACCTATCACACAAAAAGAACAGTTAAGGTATGTTATAAAAACAATAAGATCCCCAATATATAAACAAATGTTATCGGATAAGCTAAGTTGAGAATCTACCAGCTTCTCATTCCAGGAAATCTTCCCAGGTCCTTGGTTGCACGGGCTGGGGAATAGAGCCGACAGTCCATAACTTCAGTTACGGGTTGGAGAACCCTGCATTCTGAGGTTTGAAAATGCCGTCGCTAATTGTGTGGGAAATAAATTAGTGGGACAACATCAAAGAATTTCCTGAAATTAAAAATCAATCAAATGGAATCATGAAACGAACGCTTCGCCAATTCGAAGCCTGATCGCCCAAAGCCGCTCTGAAATCTAAAGCGCCGGCGTCAGCGCCCGCCATTGATGTTACAGGGGGATGGCTGCACTGCCCTAGGGTCTGATGTTTTCCAATCCCTTGGGCAATCCAGGGGGCGAGAGCGTGGTGTGAAAAAACCCATCTATCTTCCACCATCCCCCACTCAAATTTGATACTGGAGCTGAATACTTACACGGCAGCTACACAGAATCCACCTCTTGCGCGCGTCCCAGGTCCAAACTGGCCAGGCGTGCCGCAAAGCGTTGCTGAGCATCCAAAGTGGTGAACCTCAGGCGGCAGAGCCAAGATGTAGGAGTATGGGTTCAACTCTGCATGGGGTATGGCCAATCACAACATTGGTTTTCTTGGATTGTTGGAAACAAATTTTACCACCCATACTTCAAATCACAGTTGCAAGGCGGCTTTGTCCTGGGGCCTCCAGCTAATGGAGTCATGGGATCTGCAACTCACCCATTGCACGTGTTGGTGGAGACACGCTGGAGGAACAGGCTTACTTGTTTCATTAGACTGCCATGAAACTGCCATTCCCAGGGGGCAATTAGTTTTGAAAACGTCAGCGGTTGTTTTTCTGGCCAGTGTAGCCGTGGGAACTTGCATCGAGGCCCCATCCATATGGCCTTGACTTTTGTTTGAAACATGTTGGAAATAAATTTCAAATCATAAAAGCTGTTCGGAAACCTACTGCAGTTTCAATGCGACAGGGCGGCAAACCCCAAGCCCCCTTTGGCCCGAAAAAGGGCTTGGAACAGTTGCGGCACTTCCGTGCGGACCTGGTGAAAGCAGCCCGGCTGGGATTTTTCAAATGGATTTTGCCAAACACATCTGCAATTGATAGCACGCGTTTTTGGTCAATTTTTGGGAAAGGTATCACCCAAGATTCTTTTGATTTTGGAACATCCACATTCACGTGGTTCACCCGTTTGAATTCTGTACTGTGGTATGATGAGATAAATCCATAGCTGATGTAGGGTTGTTTGGATTTTGGTTTTTGATTCTTCACTGTCAATGAAACCACCACCGGGCTACCCAAAACGTTCTGGAATCCACATCCCAAAAACCTTGAAATAGATGCGGTGAAAAGCTCCACGGGATTTGGGGATATAAATTTAAACTCGAGGTATATTATAGTTGATTGGGTTATACATGATGTTGTAACATCCAATAAATCGGAAAATGCCACAATCCACACATGGAAAAACATTCTCTATGGTGCTTGCTGAAGGTGCCTGGAAACCATAGTTTTGAGGGCGCCTAGAATTGAATGTATTGTTGGTGTCCATGTTGCATGAGGAACCCAGATGTTTTTTTGCTGTAACAATTCGATATATATATATATTTATATATATATATATCCTATATGGGCATGACCATTCGTTCAAAGAAACATAAGTTTACCCAGTAATGACTCAATACCTAGAGGTTCCCAATAGATATAGATAAAAGAATATAATACTTCGGCAAGCCGGGGGTGGAAGTTTCAAAATTGAAACGCCTATAGCCTATAGAGCGGAGCAAAGAATATGCCTACAGGGTACGGGCAAGCCCTCCTGCCTTCTGTGCTTCGCAGCAACAATCTCTTGACCTTTCATTCCGGATTCCGATGCCATCTCTTTTCAAAGTTGGATCTAAGTATGAAAGTCATATGGCGTCTCTTCAGTAATTGTAGAGGTCCTTCCATGTTCTTAGTGTGAGACGTCCGCGTTGCTGCTGTGCTAGTTTTAAAAGCATATTGGCGCCCAAAAAATGCATCACTCCGGGAGTGGTAAAGGGCTAGCTAGCCAGCTCTGGTCATCATCTTCACACACTCATGCCGCAACTGCCAAAAACAATGTGGCAACAACTAATGGTGTCATTCTACGAGGATGCCCAAACATACAACATCATTTGCAACATAGCAAAGCATAACGCTGTTTGGCAACAAACAGCTCCACAAAGGACGGCTGAAGATTCTCTCGGCATAGGCACGGCCATATGGAGTTCGTACGGACGGTTGCGAACGGTTGCGGACGGTTGCGAACGGTTGCGACCGTGAACGCAACGTCGAGCGAACACACCCTCAACCCCCAGACCCCCAGAGTGAAACGGGAACCCTTGCTACGCATTCGGGAAAAATAAAAATAGGTATGTTGATACATTTTCCTTGTAAACTATATACTTAAGTATGATACTGGATCAGAACAAAAAAGGCCCCAAAGTTATAGAGAGTTAGCAGAGTTAACTAGAGATAGCTAAAAAAGTAACTTTAATAGCAACATATGTTAATTATACTTAAATTTTAACCTTTGATATACATAGTTAAGACATTGTTAGCACATAGTTCACATATAGATAACACATAGTTAACAAAAGATGCTAACCCATGGTAACTGAGCTAACTCCTTATAACAAAGCCAGGAATGTAAGTAGAAGGAACCACAACGACCGCAGCCGCACCCGCCGCACACACGAGGTATCTTTCATCGCCGGCTGCAGCCACTTTACATGGAAAAACACAAGGTTTCGTGCTCCGGCTTCCTCCCCAAAACATAGCCCATGCAACATTCATGCAGCCATTCCAATGCGATCTGCAACCACAGCTTCAAGAAACGCATAGAACTACGCACACAGACACAACCACTCGTTGCAGAACACAGGGGAGGAACCAACTCGCGCATGAAACGGCCCCAGTCGCAACCGCCGCACACACGAGGTACCTTTCATCGCCGGCTGCGGCCACTTTACGTCGAAAAACACAAGGTTTCGTGCCCCGGCTTCCTCCCCGTGCAACATTCATGCAGCCATTGCAATGCGTTTCGCACCATCACGTCGCTGACCCGCTATGCACATGGCAACACCAGATGAGCTGCGCTATAAACTCTTTATGTATTGGTGAGTAAGGGGACGGTCATAAGGTGGCTTCGCGTAAGCCAAAACTGCAGTGGCGTAAGAGCTGCGCAAGGTTTTTGGCTTTGAATGTTGTGCGTAAGCCTGCGTAAGGCATGCTTGAAAAGCACCTTTTGGCTAAAGAATGAAAGAAACATGAGGGTCAATATGCTTGGTCACGTTGATGACAGTCAAATGGAAGGGAAACCGAGCTGTAAAAACCTGCTGTAAAAAAGAAACAACTGGAATTGCACACACAAGCTTACAACAGATAATTAATGTACAGATATATACAGATATATGATATATGCATGTTTTTCCATGTGCCTTAATTGGTGGTTCCCAATTTTGAAAAAAGATTGTGTTTTTTCGCGTAAGGAACGCGTAAGGTATGCGTAAGGAACGCGTAAGGCCCACCTGCTTTATCTGAACAGTTGCCCCATGGCCCCGAAACGCCGCCCTTTTTCGCAATTGCAATGGAAACAGCGCAGCCGCATCCTCGCGCAAGTGGTGTCCATCTTCCAAAGTCTTTCAAATGCCATGCCATGCCAGCGCCAAAAAGATCACTGGAAGAAAAACTATCAGCCAAGGCCCGAACTCTCAGCAAGCAGGCTCGAAAGCGTCGACGGCAACAGGCAACATTGAAAGCTGACGGTTCAGGCTCGTCCTCAACATCCTCTTCTTCAACATCTTCATCTTCGGATTCGACAAATGATGAATGACGCACTGAAATACTCTGTTGCAAAAAAGGCCGCGTAAGGAACGTTTCACGAAAAAAGATGATTTTGTGGTGACTTACTTTCGCGCAAGCCTTGCGTAAGCCCATAGAAAGCCCAGATCCCCGCGTAAGAGAAACCCCCAATAGCGTAAGGATGCGCAAGCATGTGCGTAAGCATGTTCTTACGACCTAAGAATCTATCAAGGTTTCCAGCATGGCTCAGATGACAACAATCATGCAGCCAGTCCAATGCGATCCGCAACCAGAGATTCAAGAAACGCATAGAACTACGCACACAGGAACAACCACTCCTTGCAGAACACAGAGGAGGAACCAATTCGCGCATGAAACGACCCCAGCCGCAACCGCCGCACACACGAGGTACCTTTCATCGTCGGCTGCA